GGGCTTTTTTGGGACTCCATAATCACATCTGGCTTCCGTTTTACGTTTGAGGCTAGGATTCGGGTACCGGGTAATGGTTTCCGATTTTCGGGTTAGGGGTATGCATTCAGGCATAGGTTTTCGGGTAACGGTTAAGGTTTGAGCGTACGATTAAGTTTCAGTACTACGATTAGGTTTTCCAGTTACGGCTATGTTTGAGATCTACGGTTACGTTTACGATTTCTGTTAGGGTTAGTTTGCCGTTAGGGTTAACGGTTAACGTTTAAGGTTGAGGTTAGGGTTAAGGTTAGGATTAGGGTTAAGGTCGCCGTCCGCTTCCCCATTCCTGGATACCAACTGCGATCTAGCCCGGATGTCCTCTGGCGAGGCACCTGTAAGGCGTTTTGTCCTCACCTAAGGACTGGCCCGCAAAGTTCGGCGGAAATGAAGGACGGGTGCCCGTATATCAGAAGCCAAACAGGTGATGACCTCACAATCGGAGCGCGTGTCAAGGAAATCAGCACTATTTGCCCACCTTCATTAGTAGCTGGGAGCTCCATATTCAGTCACGAGGCCCAAAGTGTCTTTCGTCGGTGTATTTGCCGTAAAGTTGAATAGCAAGGAGGATGTATGTGTTCTACGTAGGGAAGTTGGTTGCAGAAACGGAATAGGACCTGAATATCCTGAATTCCAGTGCATTTTATAACTTCCGTTTATGGATAACAGAAATCAAATGACTGGGTGCGGTTATCCGACGGCGTCTCGAGTTAAAAGCAAGTGGTGTTATTTGTTCTTGATAGAAAGACACCATCTTCCAGTCCCCTCAGCTTAATTTGCACTAAATCAGGTTCAATGCAGTATTCGATGCGAATAACGTCCGTTTGGTATGCAGAGGCTGTAGTTTAGCTGGTGGCAGTTAAGAAATAATGGACGATCAAGAGTGGGCGCAAAAGCAAACAAGCTCCGTATGGGTGGCGGAGGTTACGAACAGGCAACCAACTACCAGGCCGAAGCCGGCCAAGTCCTAATTGCAGATGAGAGCGACGATTTCGGCCTGGTAATTGGTTGCCTCTTCGTGACTTTTGCCACCTATACGGAGCTTGTTTGCTTCGTGAAGCCAACAGATCGGTGTGCGTCCATACCTGATTGAATAAATACCCGATCTGCCGCGACAGAGAATGACAGGTGGCGGGGCACTGATGAACTTCTGTTCCATTAAGTGGACTCCAGTGACCCCAGTGGTGGATCAACTGCACCAGGTGCGTCTGTCGCATGTTTGTGTTTCTGGTCCCAGCTGTTGGTCAGGATTATGATTGGCTGAGTGAAGGCACAGTTAGCCCGAAGCAGTACTGTATCAATCTACCCGCATTCTCTGTCGTCCCTCCTTGCTGCTATTATGACTTGGCCGACTTCGGCCTGGTAATTGGTTGCCTGTTCGTGACTTTTGCCACCTATACAGAACTTGTATACTTCGTGAGGCCAATAGATCGGTATGTGCCCATTCCTGACTGAATAAATACCCAATCTGCAGAGACAGAAAAGGACCGTTAGCGAGGCACTGATGAACTTTGCTTCGTCCCTCCCGTCCACATATGTCATACGGTTTTCTACTGGCTGTTATCGTAAAGACGTCCATCTGATTTCTTGTCGCCTTCGTTTTAGAAGCGCGCGCAACGCTGGGAAGAATATACGTCGTCGGGATTGAAAATGAACTGCAATTCTAACGTTTTTCTCCCTCTCTGTCTAACTGCATTCGTATCTGTCATCGTCATCTGTCCTGTCGACAGCTTGGCGCCAATTCCTGCTTTCCCCACTAGTCAAATGAGAAGGTAGTACATACAAGGGGTTTTATTCAAGTATATTTTCAGTGGATGTCTTGTCAACTGGACAAATTTACAGTTAATCCACTTGTAACAAATCTGGGCCTTTTTTACCAGCAAAAAACCTTGTCTAAATACATGGTAGCTTTACAATGTTTTTTTTCTTCAGATTTTCTGTTCATTTAAAATTCTTCTTCTCCTTCTCCCTCACCCTCCACACTGTCAGCAGCAACCTCCTCATAGTCCTTCTCAAGGGCTGCCAAGTCCTCACGGGCCTCCGAAAATTCACCCTCTTCCATACCCTCACCGACGTACCAATGTACGAAGCAGCGCTTCGCGTACATCAGGTCAAACTTGTGATCCAGTCGGGCCCAGGCCTCGGCGACTGAGGTGGAATTGCTGATCATGCAGAGGGCCCGTTGTACTTTAGCCAAATCGCCACCGGGCACTACAGTCGGTGGCTGATAATTGATGCCGATCTTGAAACCGGTTGGACACCAGTCAACAAACTGGATGGTCCTTTTTGTTTTGATCGTGGCGATGGATGCATTGACGTCCTTCGGAGCCACATCACCGCGGTAGAGCATGCAGCAAGCCATGTACTTGCCATGTCGTGGGTCGCATTTGAGCATCTGATTGGCGGGCTCAAAGCAGGCGTTGGTGATTTCAGATATGCTCAACTGTTCGTGATAGGCCTTTTCGGCAGAAATGGTTGGTGCGTAAGTAACCAGTGGGAAGTGAATTCGTGGGTAGGGCACCAGGTTAGTCTGGAATTCGATGAGGTCGACATTCAGCGAACCGTCGAATCGAAGGGAAGCCGTTATTGAACTGACCACTTGTCCAATCAGGCGGTTCAAATTGGTATAGGTTGGTCGTTCAATGTCTAGATTGCGCCTAAGAGAGGAAAAGAGACGCAAGTAACAAACACATTGAGATCAAACATAACTCCCCAAGTCTCTGTAGAACCAACCTGCAAATATCATAGACAGCTTCGTTGTCGAAAGCCATGCAACAGTCTGCGTGTTCAAGGGTGGTGTGTGTGCACAGAATGGCATTGTATGGTTCAACGATAGCGGTGGAAATCTGTGGAGCCGGGAAAATCGAGAATTGGAACTTCGATTTTTTTCCATAGTCAACACTAAGGCGTTCCATAAGGAGGGAAGTGAAACCAGAACCGCTGCCGCCTCCATATGAGTGGAATACGATGAAACCCTGCATGCCGGTGCACTGATCAGCCAGCTTTCGGATACGATCCAGCACTAAGTCAACCATCTCCTTCCCCACAGTGTAGTGACCGCGAGCGTAGTTGTTAGCAGCATCTTCCTTGCCGCTGATAAGTTGTTCGGGATGGAAGAGCTGACGGTAGGTTCCAGTCCGTACCTCATCTGATTAAGTAAGAAACGGTGGAATTATGATCTGGTGAAGCAGCTAGCCCTACTGTTCTAAACTTACCAAATATAAAATTGAAAAATTTGACTTACCGACGACCGTTGGTTCTAGGTCGACCATCACAGCTCGTGGTACATGTTTCCCGGCTCCAGTTTCGCTGAAAAAGGTTTGGAAGGAGTCATCACCTCCTCCGATGGTCTTGTCACTTGGCATCTGACCATCGGGCTGGATCCCGTGTTCCAGACAGTAGAGTTCCCAGCAGGCATTTCCTGTCTGCACACCACCCTGGCCGATGTGGATGCTGATGACCTCACGCTGGGAAAATAAAATTAATTATGCCCATGAAGCTTTCGCCTTTACGAGGAAATTCACAAGTGGCTAGATCAAAAATTCCGGCTCGCTTACCATGACGTCTGAACTGTGGGCCTCGAACTGTCTTAGTGTACCTCAGATGCGAGGCTTCGCTGACGATCAATAGGCATTCAAACCGCCGTCAATCGATTGGGTTTGGGAGCATGCGCACCAGCGCGGCCCTTGGTGTTTTGAATGCTAGAATATGACTTGAGATGAAGAGGCCTCCGCGGCAATGTAACCCGCTTGTTTGTTGGGGTTGATAAATGCATACTAGTGCAAGCCACGCCCGTCTGATTTGGGCTTGGGAAAATTACCCTATTGATCTCATCGTCGTTAGTAGGCAAAAACACCTTAGGTTACACGTCACATTATAAAGGTACTGTAGGTCCCCACAAATTAATTGGCAGGTGCTGACACCGTGAAGGACTAAAATGCACAGGTTGGAGACTCAAACCCTTTTGATTATGCCGATTTTTGACATCTGGTTTCCTGTGACTAGAAGCAGAGACCACGATTTCAGATCATAGGGAAAAAATAGGTCTTCATAGTCGGCGCTGGGCATAAAACCTCTATTCGTAACATAAAGTCCCAAAGTCGTTTGCCAAATTTTCCCCTTTACCTCCAAATACAGTCCTTATAGTGTGCCGTCTTTGTGATTCGTGAGAACTCTGGTGACCATTTAAGTGTCAGGAAACAACTCAGATTAGTAGAAGGCTAATGCGGAAAAAAACTCGTGAGTCTCTGCGATTGACGCAAACTATGGGAATTAAATAAAATCGCTTTGACGGCTGAAATGTGTGCTGCCAGTCTGACTTGCTCAGACAGGGTAGATGACAGTAACACCTTGTTCAACGTCCGACCAAATATTGAAAGCTTGGGAAGATTATTGTACAGCAGGTTTAACGCAGTGGTGGAGCGTATGCAGACATTTGGCAGAGCCATCATTATTGCGAATAACCCGTCTGAATCTATCGTAGGCCACAGGGATCCCTACTGAACAGAATCAAACACTGTAGGGATATCCACCAAACAGTCGTCCGATGTCGCCAGCCATGGGGAAATTTAAAAATGTGCTGTAGTGAGAGTATCTGGTTGACAAATCCACGTCCAGCCAGGGAACCCCTTTCGCTGGGTCTCGTTCGAGAGTCACACACACTCCTAAATCGCCTGAGAATTACGATGATAAAGACTTTAACATCAATGCCTATAAGACATATGTCACTGTAGTTTTCGGATTTTTTCCTATTTCTGTTATTGATGACAGGGCTGCTCGAGTCCCAGTCACCAAGAACGAGCTCATTTCGCCACGCTTGGTCGGTTGCCTCAGGGTAATATGAAGCCAGTGTCGAAGCAAGACTAGTGGACTGCGATGGGGATGTCGTTCGTTCGGTAGCCTGTGAATTGCACTGAAGATTTCTTCCTCGGAAGGGGGTTATATGACATGGTATAGGCTGGAGAGGGAAAAACAGTGAGTAGATGATAGAGGGGACTATAGGTTGGTCACTGAAGTTGAAAAGGTCCTCAAAGTGCCCACACCGACATTCATTCTTGGCCGAGTTATCAGCAGTAGGGCCGCCACATATATCACGAAACCAACTCAACACAGGAGACCTGTCATTAAGTTTGCAGTCCTCGAGCATCGAGTGACTTTCGCACCTACCAGTATTCCATATCAGATGTTCGTTTTCTATTGAGTAGACTAAGTCGCCAGCACAACTGGACCAGGCGTGTTGAGCGCGTCGGTTAACTCGGATGGGGCTACATGGATGGTGATATTGTGCTCGGACAATTCCCAGCAGGAATTCCCAGGAGGATTTTTGTGAATTTTGATTACAGGCGCATTCCTAGAAGATGCTCGCATTGGTTGTCCGAGATTGCCTTCTCTAGCGCTGCAGCTAACCGTAGGGCCTCTGGGGCAGACCAAAACATTTTACGCGGCTCACGATCGTCATTCTGCAGCACGGTCATGGGCCCTCCGTGAATAATTATTCTCCAGGCCTAAGTACCCGTAGTGTCTAAGCTGTGAGAGTTTACTCAAAACGCTACAATCATCAAGCCACTCCATTGCTGTACGAAAAGACGGAAGTCACCCGACTGAGGGGTGGCAGTGCCCGCCGGCGACGCCGGGGTTGACCGCGTTCAGTCATGCCTGAGCGTTCTTGAACAGTGCTCCTCTGAATTGCTCCACAGGAGTTTTCGCAACTTTAAAACAGTGACGGCAGTTGTTTTCATAGGTTTGTGGGGAGCAGGCTCAATCGGTGTCCAAGTAGAGTATGTCGCATTAGCTGAGGGCGGTGTTCAAGTGGCTTGTGTTGTCAAAAGAAAAGGAGGCGTTCACCGGGAGGTGTTTATTGGAGGTCCGACGTTTCGAGTATTTGATTCGTCTACCCGTCTTCAGAGAATGGATAGTCCTGCGCTCAGCTCCCCTTATATGGCGCACTTTGTTCAATGCGTGACCCGCCAATGCCGCCTGTGCGACTGCATCAAACTCGCCTGTCACCGTGACCTGAATCGCCCCCCTCGGCCGCGGAGACGACTGACGGCCCCGATTGTCTCGCGCCGGCCTCTGAAGGTGGGTAGACGAATCAACTGATTGAAGCGTCGGGCCTCCAATAAACCCCTCCCAGTGAACGCGTCTTCTTCTTTTGATATGCCCCCTTGGAATCGCATTTTCACTACTATTGATAGCTTCTGTTGTATTTACGGGGGACGATGTGTTGAAGTGGCGACTCTGTGGACTCACGTGTGTCTGAGTTGAAGTCAGTCGAATGACTGCGGGTCAGCGCGTCCGGAACCGCTCGCTGCGGATGTGAATGACCTTGATGCTGTGAGGCCCTGAACAAAGACGCCAGACATGACCATGATGGCCGTCGGCAACAAACCTCCTTAGTTCTCAGATGGTCTCTGCTAATTCTTGTCCCACTATTCACCATCCCCTCATAGATAGATTAGCGGGTGAAAGGCAATGTCGCCGGCTCTGTGAACGTAGACCGGGACGGTGTTTTAAAGAAAAGTACTCCATCTTCGCCCAGTGCGGCAACACCAAAAAATGCAATTCTAGGATCTTAACCCGGTATGTCAGAGCAAGGGATGACGATGTTCATCGCGAAACCAAAGAACTACCCGCAAATATCACCGTTCAGTCGAACCGTCCAATGCAACCGACCACTGTGACCCATCGACAAAGCGCCTTTTACCTGACTGGGGGTGATATTTTTAAAACAATTGAGCTGGTTTACTAAGACTTCGGAACACCGAAAGATGTGGTGGAAAACAGACAGCACGTGAAATTACTTGCGTTGCATCTTGAATTTAGTAGCCGGTCAGATCTTGTTTCGCAGCTGTATCTGCAGTAGACAAGCCCCAACGTAACCCCTAACAGGTACGGCTACGAAATAGGATCTTGTCCAGTAGCCCTTTGTGGGCATGTAGAAAAGTGGTAATAATTGTGAAACTGTCGTAATTCTAAAGAGTAAATAAATACATCAACTTGTTGTCGATAAGTCGCTCACGCAAAATAACTCGAACGACATGTGGCCTGTACAGCGGTAACACATCGGAATATCGTGCCAGAATGTGACTTGTTGTTCGAAAAATGCCCCTTCAGGAAAAACAGCTTGCTAAGACCCAATACCAAAGGCCCAAAGACGACGCGCAAACCACGAAAATATGCAAATCGTCACACAAGAGGCTGGTTCTAGCACCATCTCATACACAACGCGCTGTAAACTCCTGAAATGTATAACTTTCAATTGTCTCCCCAGCGCCCCAAGTGCAGCAGCTTCCTTCATGTAGCTCCTGTTTCGCTGAAAAGTCACTGAGGTGCTTGAAGTATCCATCAGTTGGAAGTCTGCACACGAGACCGCATATTTGAATGTCGAAAAGATTTCGAAAGCCATATTCAGTTGCTAATGTGCCGGCACTACTTAGAGTGAATGTGAAAGATCGGTGGCAACGATCGCGTAAAGGATCCCAAACACACACGATCATCCAAGGCTGCCTGTCTTACGGGAAAACGTGGTAATAGGGGTTTTACTGGCGGGGCCTGTGTATGTACAGAGGAATGGCAAAATGAGTGTAGTTAATTGGTTAATTCGTTTTTCGGACGGAAAAACTCTAATACATTGGCATATAACGACCGAAATTAAGCAGGACAGTTAAGAAAATAAACATTAAGTGTATACAACGATCGCTTCTCATCTCTCTGAGCTGAGGTCATTGCAGATAATGCCCCGGACCGTCTACGAAAGACGACCCAACCTTATACAATGAAACACCAAACCGAACTAATCGTGTCGGCCTAAGACCCACTCAAACAAGTATTTTAGGTATCCTTTGTATGCCACAGATGTTTGGGGGCCTTCACCCGATCTTTACCAAATCGCCGACGGTGTTGGCCGAGCGTTTTGGCTGCGCACACGACTGAGCTGCATATCGCATACCACGTTCTTATAGGGCTTGCAAATAATCCGGTAGACAGGGGTGCGATGTTGCTTAGTAGCAAGCAAACGCCTGAAGAAAACAGTCCGGAAAATACCACGGATGGACTGCGCCATAAGCCCTGGCAGTCGCCTGTTTCTAAGATATACTGCCGGGCATAACGTTGGACTGTGGCTCCGTGCTGAAAGAGGAGGCGGTAATGCGCTATTGACAGCGCCTGCATTGGGCATGTCTGCCGCAGCCGGTAGCATCTCCGTGCTGGCCACATCGAGCTGGCATGCCCATCTCACCGTCTTTGTGCGGTCAGCTCGCGTGTGTACCGCGATTGGTGATTCGACCGCAGCAGCCGCCCTCCCAGGTGGATGCGGGCTTCCTGATTGGTGAAGTCGCAGCAACTTTCATTCCAAGACCAACCAACCACGGTTGGCAGCGCATGGCAATCACGACTCTTACGCCTAATTTTCGAATCGTTCGTCCCCATCTTGTCACCATGAGATTCGTCTCCCGAACGCTTGCTTTGTACACGACACCACCTACAGGGGCCGAACCCCTCAGACAGTAAGCACTGCAAAACGATCCAACAAAATCAGTATGAAGACTAACGCCAAGAGCCT